TCACACAGCTGATGATCAACACTCTTCCCCACTCTGCTGGAGTGGTATCTCATGCCACTCCAAGCCCAGCAGATCTATGCGAGAGCAGTATGGGTTTTTTTTTTTTTTAACTTCAAAATATTAAGGGAGTACAAATGTTTTTGGTTACATAGATCACTTTTGTAATGCTATAGGTGTGCCCATCAGCCAGATAGAGTTCATTGTACCTGGTTGGTAGGTTTTTGCCCATCTCCTCCCCATTCTTCCCTGCTTGATTTCCACTGAGTTTTACTTCCCTCTCTGCACATGTGTGCTCATTGGTTGGTTCCAGTTGAATAGTGAGTACATGTGGTGTTTGTTTTTCCATTCTTTGGATACTTTACTTAGGATAATGGTCTCCAATTCCATCCAAATTGTTGCAAAAGGCCTTAATTCATCCTTCTTCAAGACTGAGTATTATTCCATTGTATACATATACCATATTTTGTTAATCCACTCATGAATTCATGGGCACTTGGGTTGATTCCACATCTCTGCAACTGTGAATTGTGCTGCAGTAAACACTCAAGTGCAGGTGTCTTTTTGATACAAAGACTTCTTTTCCTCTGGGTAGATAGCCAGTAGTGGGACTGCTAGATAGAATGGTAGGTTTACCTTAAGTTCTCTGAGGAATCTCCAGACTGTTTTGCATAGAGGCTGTACCAATTTGCAGTCCCACCAACAATGTAGAGGTGTTCCTTTCTCTTTGCATTCATGCCAGCATCTATTGTTTTTGGACTTTTTAATAAAAGCCATTCTGACTGGGGTAAGGTGATATCTCATTGTGGTTTTAATTTGCATTTCCCTGATGATTAGTAATGTTGAGCATTTTTTCATATGTCAATTGGGCCTTTGTCTATTTTCTTTTGAAAAGCTTCTGTTCATGTCTTTTGCCTACTTTTTTTTTTTTTTTTTGAGACAAAGTCTCACTCTTTTGCCCGGGCTAGAGTGAGTGCCGTGGTCATCATAGCTCACAGCAACCTCAAACTCCTGGGCTCAAGCAATCCTTCTGCCTCAGCCTCCCGAGTAGCTGGGACTACAGGCATGCGCCACCATGCCCGGCTAATTTTTTTCTATATATTTTTAGTTGTCCGATTAATTTCTTTCTATTTTTAGTAGAGACAGGGTCTTGCTCTTGCTCAGGCTGGTTTTGAACTCCTGAGCTCAAACGATCCGCCCGCCTCGGCCTCCCAGAGTGCTAGGATTACAGGCGTGAGCCACTGCGCCCGGCCCCTTTTTGCCCACTTTTTAATGGGATCGTTTGTTTTTGCCCTGACTGTGCCCACATCCATGTTTTGGTGGCACAACACACTGCCACTGTGAGGCAGCATTACATACTACCAAGGGAGTTCAGAGACACTTCCCACAGGTGCAAAGAGAGGGTTCATTTCCTTGTACTCAAATCTTGACTACACAGAAACGTGAGCTAGCAAGCCAGAGCTCAGTAAAAACCAACACATCCCTTTCTTCCAACAGCTGCTAACAGTCATTTGAACTAGCATTTTATTGTCACTTGGAAAACGACAAAGACTGGAATATTCCCCTTGGAAGGTCCACCAAGGAAATGTGGACGGATGGTCAGGGCCAGTGTGGGTCACAACTGCTCATGAACAGAGAAGGGCTCACATCCAAGAAGGAAAGAACTTCAGTCAGTAGCCAACTATCCTTCCAATTCTAATTTGTGGGCTCCTCTACGGCTGAGGAGATGACAGAAGTACCCTGGGTAGGACTTTGCACTGAGCTAGTTAGCCCCACTCCATCTAGAGATCGGAGCGCCCAACCCAGATTCGATGGACACTTAGATCTCTTCAGAACAGTGCTGCCCGACAGAAATAGGAGTCACATATGTCATTTTAAATGTTCTACAAGCCACATTTAAAATAAAAGGAAACAGTAAATTTATTTTTTGCAATATACTTAAACCAATATATTTAAAAGTTAGCATTTCAACATGTAATCAATATTTTAAAAATTAGTAATTCTTTATTATACATTTTTTCCCCCAAACTAAGTCTTAGAAACTTGGGATGTTTTACACTTATAGTCTATCTCAATCTAGATTAGCCATGCATCAAGTGCTCAGTAGCCTCGATATTGGGCAGTGTGGCTCTGGACAGCAGTGTGGGGACCTCAGTGAACTTGCTTTCAGCCGAGAGTTCCAGAGTGAAAGGCTCCGGGCAGCATTTCTGCTGAGAGGGCAGCCGCGTTCCAGGCTTTACATCGAGGCCTCTCAACCCTTTCTAGAAAGGGGGATCTACTTTCCCTCTCCAAAGTGCTTGGTTGAGAACCCCTGTTCTATGAAATCGGCCTGGACAGGGCACACTCCCTTTGTGAGGAGATGTGGAACAGATGCTGGACGTAGGGGTTGAAGCAGCTATTAAAAAACAAGGCAGCACTCATCACAAGGAGAGTGACTGCGGTGACAACCACTTCCCGCTCATTAAGGGGAGTCCAGCTACAGATCAATGACTAGGACCCAAAATGAAGCCGCATTTAGTAGACACCAATAGATCATGTGTCAGGTGGATGACATTAAAAAACAGCCTCATGCTATACTTGCCCTAGGCTATCCTATATATGATGACTATTCCCACACTCCCTTGTCACGATCTTTGATCCCCTGAGGGAAATGTATTTTGGAGTCTGAAGAGAGGAGGGATTTTAGTCCACAGTGGTAGAGACGTGGTGAATGGAATCATTCTGTGGGGGTTAAGGAAACTGAAAGGGTTCCGGACCCGTGTTGAAGCGGGGTCACTGGGAGTGAGCACACACTGGGAAAGCCCAGCCTGCAGGGACGTGCATTCGGGCACATAAAGCTCATAGCTGGCGCTGGGACATGCGGGATCCCTGATCAGGCCCAGGCTTATGGCAGGCGCCAAGGAAATGGGGACGGATGGTCACGGCCAGTGCGGGTCACAACTGCTCATGAACAGAGAAGGGCTCACATCCAGGAAGGAAAGAACTTCAGTCAGTAGCCAACTATCCTTCCAATTCTAATTTTATGTTAAAATCTTTGGCTTGCAGTAAGAAGCAAAATGTTCTTTTCCTCTTTCCCTTCATGTGTTGGAGAAGGAAAAAGCACATGGTGCTAACTCTCAGCCTTCCCCTGGTATTATTCGTTCAGTTTGCATCAGTGTGTTTTGGATTAGGCTTAATTTACCAACACTTCATAAAATTTCTTATTTATCACAAAGAACGAAAGGATGCGGAGATATTTTCTTCCCCCACATGGAAAGAGTGAAACATTCTGAGTTATGTGCTTAAAATACACTTTGATTTTTCTGTAAAGGAAAATATTTTTTTTTGTTAAAAAAAATAAATTTTGTTCTTATGTTAGGCTCTACATTTTCGGTGGATACCGTTCCATTCCAGTGTAATACCTTGTTGTGGTATTATTAAGACCATACAGAGAGGAAGATGCCCTATTAAAATATTAAGAAATAAAAAACTGTAAAGGAACTTAAATCATACCATTTTCAGATTGCCACCATTTCTTTTCTCTGTCTGGTTCAAAACTTGCAATGACATTCTCAATGGTGTGGCTGTTGGGTTGGGTGTACCAGTCATAAGGAAATCTGGAGTCACAGATGAAGCACTTTTGTTCCTCCTGGAAAACACCATCGTTAAAATTAAAAATAAAGAATTATAATTACTTATTGTTGATCTAAATTAAAAACAAGCTGTGCTTACTATATTTGTCTTTGAAGCTGGCTAAAAATAAAAAGCAGAGGAAATAACAAGACATCAATTTTTCCATCAATAGATGCCTAAATACAATAACTAAATTAAAACATGACCTAGAAATTTTATGAATTTATACATTCAGGGCAAAAATGCAAATTTATGTGAAACTTATTTTATTCTCTTGTAAGAGGTAGATGACCTGGAAGTTAATTTAAACTGTAGACAAATAATTAGGATGCACTTTTTGAGTTAGAACTAATTCCTTTACCCAAAAAAGGAATATCTGGCAGGAAATTAATGAAACATTGGCCACTAGGTTATCTGTAACTATAATCCTTTTTCCTCTCAGATTTTCCAGTTTTTGGTGGAAAAACTTCGATGACCAAAGCCTTTATATTACACATATGTACTTACGAAAAGATTTCAATAAACTCACAACAAAGAGGCCCACTCTCTTATCTTTTCCAATTCACAAATAAGACCTTTTAGTCTCTTAGAGAAACTAATTTTGCTTAGCACGGATTTTCACAGGTTACAACAGCAAAGACTGGCCTTTGAGCTTGCTGAATTTCATGTGTCCATTTGCAGCTGTCCTTAAAACTCCTAGGGGGTTTACAAAGATTTCCAAAGTACTGTCAGCAGCCTGCATAGTTATTTCTGGTTAATTCTTGTGGGACTCTGAAGGAGCTTTTTTGCAAAGTTTCCAGGAGATGGGGCTGTTCATTATAATCTTCCATGCTGGAAACTGCCTACGACAGCATAGGTACTCAGCTGGTGGGGACAAAGCTTGTGTAGTTTCATTGTATGTTCTTACTGTGGCTTCTGATGCCTGGAGTGATCTGAGCAGGGCCACCTCTTTGCCTTTATATCTATCTGGCTTCCTTCCCTCACTTGGCTCTAGCTACACTTGCTTCTTGCTATTTTTCAAGCATATGGAGAACCTTTCTGCCTTAGAGTCTTGACACAAACCATTCAACCTCCCACATATTCTTATCTCTTGCTCCTTTCCTTCTTTCAGGTCTCTGTTTAAATGACTTCATCTCAGAGGGATGTGTCCTGACTATCCTACATAAAATGCCACCATCTCCTATCCCCTTCCCTTCTGCCATGCTCTATCCTTTGCCCTGCTTTACATATTTCCTAAGCCCTTATAGAGTATATGATATAGTTGTTGGTTTATTGTCTGTCTCCATAATTATAAGTGAAGGTGAATGAGGGCAGGGATTTGGTTTTGTTTATTACTGTATCTCATTACCTACAATAGTGCCTGGCACACAGTAGGTGCTCAATAGAATGTGTGGAATGAATGCATGATGGTTTTAATCATTATTTTGGCTAGAGTCTGTCAAAGTGATCCAACCCTTCAAGAGATCTATATAATCAGTGCATTTTAGAAACACTGGTCACCATAAGCCTGATTGTTGAAGAAAATCAAAACGTCCTTTGAAAGTGAAGGCCTGATGGATGCTAGGTCAGTTCTGCATAGGGGTAGGCTAGCCCCAGAACTGCTCTAAACGAGTAGCAGAAGCCTTGTGCTTCTGTCAAAAGATGTCAAATCTTCAAAGTATTTCCATCATACAATCATACAGTAATCATGGAAATTACTAGGGAAAATGCTTAACTTTAGGGCTTATGGGCCATTCTTCTGAAAACATTTTAGAAGCATAGACTTTGATGGAGCTGGTGCCAGAGGATGCTTAGCTGTGGCCACTAGATGTGGGAGTTCCAACTTGGGTAACGCACAGATCAATGTTGACTGGAAGCTTCTGAAGAAAATGTTCCTTAGACAATGGATGGGGGGAAAAATCATCCTTCATGCTGCACAAATGTTTATCTAGACTAGTGATTATCGCCCCATCTGTAATACTTTATCAGCCTGAAACATTTTCAGGTTGTTTTCCAGCTCTAAGCTTTCTAAGATTTCTCTCGTTCTATAGACAAAAGAAGCCCCTGCAGTTGGATTTACTTCTATTTTTGGTGCTGTAACTTTGAGACATAGGAATGCCAATTTTTAATTATTGTCAGAGTTTGTTGGCTCATGACAACAGTAAGCAAATGTCAGCGAGCGAAGAACAAGATGGGTGATGTTAGTGTTGGAAAGTTTCTAATATTAGAGTTGAGAACTACTTCTTTGTCCAGAGGACCTGGACTCAATAAAATCATTTAAAGAGCACCCATCCCATGTGGCCTAGAATTGAGCAGAACTTCCACCATGTAATTTCCTTGCACACGTAGAGAATTGGCTTTCTTGCAGAAGTACTTCCCAAACTTAGAATAGTGCTAAGCACCCAAGTATTGTCTCCACTTATTTAATCATCATCTTTTACTAGAAACCAATTAGAATACAAAGCATTTCCCAGAGACCTAAACAGGTTGCCTTAAATGAACAATACATGGAAAAGCCTGGGCCACTAACATTAGGCTTATGTCCAGCCTCCTTCCTGCACATCCTCTCATTTAAGGGGCTGATGTCATTGCTTCAGGGTTTTCCGTAGGTATACGACTCAGATGACCTTGGACGCTTGTTCTGCTACCAGTACGTGGGGAGGAAAAAAACCTGAAAAGCCACTGATCCTTTTATAAAACTGTTCTTTAAGGGAAAAAGGGAATGCCCCCCCAAAATATGTTTGCATCAGGACTTTATGGTTTTTAGACAATACAACTTCTAGGTAATATTATGAAGTTGGTATACAGTCAATTCTACACCCCCCCTCCCCCCACCCCAAGGCAGAACCATGAGCACTCACATTCAGCACAGTGGCCTCAAAGCCCTGCGGGATCTTCCGTCTTCACTGAATGAGTCAATTACATTTTCTCTATGGGAGTGACTAAAGCAGCTAAGTAGACTAGTAGATTTTATAGCAATTCCCTTCAAAGACTGAACCAAAAAGACTTAATTCTGAAGGTAACAAGAAATGGAAATTAAGTAGATCTATCCTATTTTTTGATTAGCCAAGGTTTCCTAGACTTTGAATTGTATCTCAGTTGGCTCCCCAGTTGGTTCCACGTCTTTGGATTCAACCAGGTTATATGCAAATACTATTCCATTTTAGATCAGGGACTTGAGCACACATGGATTTTAGTACAGAGAGGAAGGTCCTGATACCAATACCCCTTGGGTACCCAGGGACAATTGCCCCATGTCTCTACTGATCAGGAAGGAGTGTTGTCTCCTTTAATGTTGTCTGAGTAGCTCCCGATGTACTTGGAAAAAATCTGCATCATTGATTAAATAACGTCCCAGCTAGTAAACAAAAAGCCAACCCACCTCCAGGTAACTGAGGATGCAGTATTTCTGGGCTCCGTTCAGCCCGCAGGTGGAAGAAGCTGTAAGCTGCCTGTGACGGCCCACGAGGAGATTGCCAGTGGTAGGATGACAGGCACCCATGCTGCAGTCATCTTGAGCCTTCGAGAAACTGAGCCACCCTTGAACACAACAGAAGCAGTTATACAGAAGGCAGTCTAAAGGCGGCCCAGGCCAGAAGGAAGAGCTGGTTAAACTGGAAAGTTAACAAGTCAGTTTATTTTGGATACTGGTTCTGTTGATATTTAAGATCCTAGTTGTGGATGTTGTTGGTGCCATCAGCCTGATAGACATCTCCTAGCCTGGGAGGTTACACCCTCTATGTCCCCTGTCCCCTTCTGGGGCGGCCTGTAGCCAATGACTGATGGATACAGGTTCAAAGGGCTGGCACCATTGACTCAGACTGGGATCAACTCCACGGTGCGATTCATGCTCAGAATCTACTCTCAGCATCGGTTGAGGGTCGAAGCTTGACTCCAGCTAGAACCCCACCCTGTCTCCATTTCCTCACTCTCTTACGCCTGAGAACATTTCCTCAAAAAATCACTTGCACACAAATCCCTGTCTCAGGCTCTGCTTTGAGGAAAGCTGATTTGAGACAGCTTCGATTTACTAGGAATTCTTTGTGTGTCATTTTATGGCAAAGAATGGAAGCTAATGCATAGGTGTGAGGAGGGAGAGGCCAAATCTTGCCTGTTACACCAATTCCAACTTGTACAAAATAAGTTGGAGAATTTAAGAAATGCTTTGGAAATAACTTTCTCTTAAAATATGTAAATTCACTTGAGCTCCTTTATAACCTGAATTGTTGGCTTCAGATACCCCGTGGAACAATCGTGCTCTTTTGGATGAAGTGAGAGATTGTGTTCTAGTCTGTATAGCACACTTATCCTGCCTCAAAACCTCCTGAACAACTCATCTGCCATGAAGGGATTTGGTCACAAGTGTGATAAGATTATTATTGCAGGGGCAATACTATCTAAATTGTCACCTCAATTCTCTACTTCACTTTTCTTGTGTAGCCTCTGAGATAGCATCCTTAAATCTCTGTTTAAAAACTATTTTAGAAATTCTATTTGTTTTAAAATTTAAAGTTCTGGAGAAGGAGTAAGATCCTTGGAGAAATGAGAAGTGTATTATAAACATGTTAAAATGTTAGCTTACTAAACTATTACTAAATAGTAGTAGTAATAGTAGTAAATAATATAAAACAAAACAAATCCTAGATATGAGATAGAAAAGGGTGGAAGAGAACTTATGTGATTGAGAAGCCAGCTTCCATTAACTGGAAAAAATTACAACCATACGGTATCCATTTTATTACTTCCTCTTTTTTAAATTTGATGTAATGGCAAAAAGAATCAGAATCTCTAAGCAGAGAATCTGGACAGGTTGTAAGTCAGTTATAAACATTCAGGCAAATGTGTCCTCATTAGAGACAGAGGAAGAAAACACCACCAGTAAATCCTTTTGATATCAAGTCACCTAGAAGAATCCGAACCATAGTTCCATCATTGTATATTTCCAAAGAAGTCTTTGACTTTCAGGAAAGATTTACACTGAATTAGGAAAATATTGCTTCACTCAAGTCTGAAATAAAACCAGGGTTTGAGTATTGAGTGACTGAGAACGCAGAGGTAGGTAAATACCTAGGTATAGTTAGGCATGGCTAATAACTGTATTTGAACATTTATATATTTATTTAACATTGGCCGAAGATGTATTAGACTTTTAAGTTTATTAATAGATGATGAGGCCGGGTGTGGTGGCTCATGCACTCTGGGAGGCCGAGGCGGGTGGATTGTTTGAGCTCAGGAGTTCGAGACCAGCCTGAGCAAGAGCAAGACCCTGTCTCTACTAAAAAAAAAAAAACAGAAAGAAATTATCTGGACAACTAAAAACATATAGAAAAAATTAGTCGGGCATGGTGGCACATGCCTATAGTCCCAGCTACTCGGGAAGCTGAGGCAGTAGGATCGCTCGAGCCCAGGAGTTTGAGGTTGCTGTGAGCTAGGCTAACGGCACGGCACTCACTGTAGCCAGGGCAACAGAGTGAGACTCTGTCTCAAAAAAAAATAGATGATGAACAGTCCCAACTTTGCTTGCTGGGTGGCATTAGGTATAATAACGCTTTGAGTCTCAGTTTTTTCAAAATATGGATTTGCACTAAAGATAAAAGCTTCCAAAATGTGATGAACTGAACTCGAGATCAGCAGGATTCTCCGTCAAAAAAGGATGCTGAGAACAGTAAATGTGGGAAATACTCACCCTATATCCCTTTCTTGGATATTTACAATGGACGCCAACATTGTAAAGTCCCTGAGAAATGCTTTTATGAAAACAAAACAAAACAAAAAGCAATTCTCTTTAAAGTTGTTTGATCTAATATTTCCCAAATTTATTTCACCATGCAAGGCATTTTTTATTCAAATCAGACTAACATTTTGTACAATACTAGGAAAACACTTTGGGAAATGCTGAACTCAATTTTATTGAAGTGTCTTCCAGCCTGAAAAAATCCTATGACTCTGGAAGTGAGGGGGTCACTGTGTCTTACTTAAAGATTGGTTTTAAACTTAAATCTCAGGAATTGATTTAAGGTATAAGCCATATGTAATCAAATTACTCTGGAAAAATTTGTGAATTGCCTATATAGCAGAGGATACATGGCTTTGTACGCACAAATCTTAACCATAATGCTCAATGTAATGTTCGAGAACCATCAAGTCAGATAAAGGGAGGAAACGAAGGAAAGGCTATATGCAAAGGGGTGAGCATTTGAATCATATTGAGTTAAGGTAACTGTTAAATCACTATATGTGCACATGGGTGAGTAGGGTAACCCAAGCTACTTCCTGCCTGCAGGGTTTGTTTCCTCATGGTAGGTATTACAGTTTGGTAAATGGTAATACATTAATATGTTTGCTAATTGTCAGGAAGACTGAATAGAGCGAAGTGGAATCTTACTGGGGGTTAAAGTATAAAGTTAAATGCATATATAATGAGAGTCAACTATAACATTTGTGGATAGCTATTTATAGAAATAGTTGTATTTCTTCCTTTAAAATGTATATTTGAACAGGACAATGTAGTTTCATTGTTAATTCAATTAAAGGGGTAGAATCCTGTTTGATTCTGGAGGCCAAATCTAGGCGCCGGTTTTCCCTTGATTATAAGTCAAATTATAGGCAAGGTAATTTTGTGGAAATAAAATAGCCTCTGGATGTAAGGGCACAGGACCTATAATAGCCAGAACACTTTGAAAAAGAATAAAGGGATGGGGGAGAAACAGCCCTGCCCAATATGGAGGCTTACTATATAGGTAAATAAAGAAGGGAGTGTGATATTGGTGGAGGAACAGACACATAGATCAATGGAATAGAATAGAGAACCCAGAAATAGACCCACATAAAAATGCCCAACTGAATTTTGAGGCGCAAAGGCAATTCAGTAGAGAAAGGATAGCTTTTTCAACAGATAGTGCTGGAGCAATTGGACATAATAGGCAAAAAAAATGAAATACAATCAAAATCTCACACCTCAAAATAATATTAACTCAAAATGAATCATGGACTTAAGGGTACAATATCAAACTATAAAGCTATACAACTCCTATAAAACATAGGAGAAAATCTTTAGGATTTAGGACTAGGTGAAGAATTTTTAGAATTGACAACAAAAGCACGATTCATAAAAGGAGAAACTGGAAAATTAGACCTCATTAACACTAAAAACTTTTGAGTTTTATTACAATGAGATATTACCACATTCCTATCAGAATGGCTCAGATAAAAAATAGGGGTAACACTAAAAGCTAGAGAGGGTGTGAAAAAAACTGGATCCCTTATAGGTTGCTGGTGGGACTGTACAATGGTGCAGGGACCCTGGGGAAGAGTACGGTTGTTCCTTATAAAACTAAGTGTGTGCTTATCATACAACTCACCAATTACAGTCTTGGGTATCTGTCTCAGAGGAATTACAACTTATGTTCACACGAAAACCTGCATATGAACATCCACAGCACCTTTATTTGTAATAGCCAAAAACTGGAATCAACCCAGATGTCCTTCACCGGGTAAAGGGTTAAACAAAGTGTGGTACTTCCATACCATGGAATAGGACTTAGCAATAAAAAGGAGCAAACCACTGACACATGCAACAACTTGCATGGATCCCAAAAGAACTATGCTGAGTGTAAAAGGCTATATACTGCATAATTCCATTTCTATCACATTCTTGAATAACAAAATTATAGAGATGGAAGACAAATTAGGAGTTGTCAGGGTTAGGAAGGCAGAGAAAAGGGTAGGATTAGGGATCCTTGAGGTGATGGAACTGTTCTGTATGTTGATTGTGGTGATGGTCACGCGAATCTCTACAGTGATAAAATTGCATAGAATTAAATACACATTCACATGAGTACACGCATAACTGGTGAAACCTGAGTAAGATCAGTGGACTGCATGATTTCCTGGTTGTGATATTGTACTATAGTTATACAACACGTCACCATTGGGGGAGACGGGGTGAAGGGTATATGTCTCTCTCTTTGTATTATTTCGAACAACTGCATGTGAACTTACAATGATCTCAAAATAAAGAGTAAAACAAACAATCCTCTCTCCCCCACCCCATAATCACCCCATTAGTCTCTGGATGGTGAACCAAATAAATCTCACACTCTCAAAATACACACATGACATGTTCTAGCAGTTTTTATATACTTTACTTTTGAGACATGAAAAGACATGAAAATTTATGCCAAGCCCTTATTTCAGTAGACAGATTGGCCTATAATATAAAAATAATTACCATACCATGAAATAAGCTTGGTTTCTCT